TGCATGTATGTTTCAATATTTTACATAAATTAAATAGTTGTCTTTTATGAACTTCAATCTTGAGTGAGGGTAGAAAAAAGTTAGACGCAGGCCTTTTACCGACATATAATATGTTATATGGGGTTAGACTTTTTTATAAAAATGTTAAGCTCAGACTTTTTTATCAACGTATTTAGTTTAATATTAAAGATTTTATATCATTTAAAATATTTATTAAGCCTAACATTAGTTATTTTATATATCAATGTATTATATTATGTTAATATAAGTAATATTATTATAAAAATGTATACAAAAATATATTTAATTATTAGAGTTAGATATATCTAGCTAAAAATAGGCATGTTATTTCATTTACATATAGACATGACCAAGTCAGACTTTTAAACAAGTCAGACTTTTAAACAAGTCATGCATGTTAAATACGCTAACAGATCAAGTCAGACTTTTAAACAAGTCATGCATATGTATTGAAGAAGAGTTATTTTGGGAAAATAGTTATTTTGATATGAAATGACAAAATTATCTCCTAAATTTTTATATTTTTAAGCTATACTTTTTATTGTATGGACATTTGTATAATTCAAAAATTATATATACTTAAATTTTTCAATTTTTCTCATATCAAACAATACAAAAATTTAATATATTTCTCCCTCTTTATTCTCTCATTTTCACTATTCAGTAAATAAAAATATGCTCTTTCGCTTTTTTTACTGTTTGTTTCGTGATCTTTCTCTCTCTTTCTGATCACCTCACATGGGTTGTTGAGTGGCTGACTTATGAAAATGTCAAAAAGAGTGGTAAGATTTTAAGGCAATGGGTTAGGAATCTAGATAAAAAATATATATTATTTTTATGTAAATATGTGCGTAATAGATTATTATTACACAGACAAAATAAACATCATTTTTTTATTCAGCGAGTGGTTGGTTCTATATTATGAATCTTTATTCAAATAGTATTATTTCTAAAAGATACTTGTAATTAAGAAAATAAAATAACTGTCCTTTTCTTTTTTAGGTGAGAGGTTGCAATTTTGGCATCTCTATGTCCTTTGGCTCTTTACCTTTTTTGCTATGCGCTCCTTCTCTCACTTGTTTTCATATTATCCCCAAAGTGAATTCTAGATGTGTTTGTCACTACTTTTGGATAGAGATTACACTAACACAAAATACCAATTATGAAAGTTTTACTTGTGAGAGATTTACACAATTACAATGAGGAACTACTTGCAGGTTTTGTAATGAGGAGCCAGAAACTTCCCAACATTTGTTCTCATCATTCAAGATCACAATATCGACTTTGGGAGATGATATATAATTGGTTCAGTTTTGAAATTGTTCTTCCTCATGATACAATATGACATTTCATGATTCATATTGGCTTGTCAATCAATAAAAAATGGATGAAGTTTTTGGAACATCATATGGTTATCAATGATATAGTCAATATCATATTCAACTCCAGCAAGATGTCTATATAGCAAATTGTGGAGAATGTGAAATTTCGAGCCTGAACATTACTAGGGTAATATTCTGATATTCTGAACATTTACTCCAGTGAACACTGACACCGACTTGTTTCACAGTCCTGCAACATTTCCAATGAAATACATTCCAAATTCACACTCATGATATACACATGACTCAACCTAAGAAAACAGTTGGCGCATGTAGCTTGCTAGTTGTTATTATTCCAATGCAAAACACTCAAATTGCTTAGTTATACATTATTTTTGTTAGTGATGATTAAACATAGTCTTGAATTTGTCATATTTGGATGTGAATTGGTTGCCAAGGAATTATTATAATTTATATTTTTAGAGCCATGGTGCTAATAATCACCCTCCTACATGTACTATTGAAGTCACAACATGGAACTTTCTAGGAGCTTCACCGCTGAAAGAGTTTTTTTGTACTACCAAGAATATCATCTTGCCATATGAATAAAAAATTAACTCTTTGGGATATGCGATTGTCCTTTCCAACAAATGTCGCTCCCAGTAATCGAACTCCTAACATTTTCGTCTTTCTGGGATTTAGTAGGGTCTCACACCACAAGACCAATGCTAACCGACAAATTGGTAAATTAAATTACTAAATTGGGTTGTCGCATACAACTATAAAAGATTGTTGAATTCATAGTAACTTGCTTGATACTAGCCTTCAACTAAAAATTGATATTCTAAGTTGGTTTTAGAAAAGGTTTTGGTTGTTTTTTTTTATTAAATAATTACTATTAAATTAATTAAATTGTTCAGAATAAATATGTTGTGATTGAACTCTACTAATCACTATCAATAAAAACATGATTCATCAACACTAATTTATCTAGCTATGATTCTTTCAGACAATAAATCTCAATGGTACTAAAAGCTAATGTCTTAGTGAGTATAGTAGCTCATGATATAATGCTCTATGTCTAGTAACATTATATTTATGACTCACAAAACATATATTTATGTCTACTAGTTTATGATTGTGAAATTGAGTTTAATGCAAAATCTCAAATATACTAAACATAAATGTTTTGGTCATTTTAGTAGCTTATTAGAATAGTTGTATGTCTAGCAACTAAAATAATAAGATGAAGATATATGAACCATTAACACATATCTATGTCTAGCAATTTATGTTGGGGAGGGATCCACTTACTCTGGGAGTAAGTGGAAAAACACTTACTCCACATCATGATCATTCATTCTTGGGAAATTCAATAGTTTGAATTGATGAATACATTTAAACCATTGGATTTTTCAAGATTGAGTGGTTAAGATGTGGAGTGAGTGTTTTTCCGATCCCTCTCCATTTATGTTAATTAACAAATTTATTGAGAGTTACTAATCATTAAATTAGCTTTATGTCTAGCAACTAAAACAACAACATGTATAATGCGTCTAATTGATATAAATCTATGTCTAGCAATTGTATCAATGTGACGAGTAGATAAAATCAGAATGTGTGGCTATTCTCTTAACAAGTATTGCTCACAATAATCAAAATCTTTATCCTTTTGATCATTATAAGAATCTAATAGAATCTTATATCATAAACTTAACACCTTATTGCTAGTTATATGCCATTTGTCATATATTATTTATTCACACATGTATAAAATAATTGCATTTGTCTAATGTGACACATTCTCTCCCTTTTGTCATATGTACTAGGTGTTTGCATATCTGACATTTGACTAACGTTTAAAAATCTAAAAATATCATATCTACATGTGACATACATTTAGAATGTTCCACTTCAAAGCCAAACATTATTCCTCTCTATAAGTGGCATAATTCTTCTCTTCAAAGATTGTAGACATATATAACTTTGAAATTTAAGATTAACAAACAATATATATACATAGAGGCTGGACTAAGGTTGTTTATTTTAAATGTAAAAAACAAATTCTTCATTGTCCATTAGCTATTTAGAAATTACTTTAAATTCAATTATTTATAATATATTATTTTTGTCAATTCTTATTTTTATTTTCTTCAACTCTCAACTACATTTTAACAAGTAATATATGTAATGACATACACTTTTAGGACAATCGATGTGTTCCATTTTATCACCTTAATTTCAATTTTTTTATTATGTAGTAAATCTATGTTATAATTTTCTTTTAAAATAAATATAGGTTTAATATTCTCTATTTAAAAGTTGCATCACCTTTTCTGTGTATTGTCCTAAATAAATGATATTAATGACCCAACAAATATTGAAGAAGATAGTATATTTAATCACAGATAAAGAATGTAAGAACGTATAAAGCTTATAAGTGTGGTTTTTACTTAAATTGTACTTAAACTTAATTCATTAATTGAACACAATAATTTGAACCAATCATCATATTCAAATATTAATGATATAAATTTATATACTTTTTATTTTATTTTTAAGTAGAGTATATTTTTACAAGGGAACCAATTAATCTCTTGAAGTATTATTATTTTGTCATGTGAGACTCTCATTAGTTAGATATCCCTTCAACTTTACTTAATTATCAACTCAACATGTAACTTATCCTACTCGAATTTTTGGTCACGCGATATCTTTGGGAGTTGTCATCACGTCTTTTGCAGTTAAAACATGGAAAACTCGAATTAAGCCTAAATTAGGATTAAATGGTCTTTCAATGTAGAGTTGTGAGTTCGGGAGTCGATTATGATTCAGGGAAGGTATTAGCACACGTCTGCCCGTAATTAAACGGTACCCTAACTAATTGTATGAATTAAATACCCTTAATTTATTAAAATTAAATTGTTTAAAACAAAAATATTTATTTTTTTATTTTTGTGTCTGACAAGAGGATATCAATACTACGTAGTTCTGGTAGAAAAATCGTTTATTGGTTTGATTAAAAGTTATTAAAAATTTATTTAATTAAAAGTTATTAAAATTTTGGTTTGAATTTCATCGAAGTGAGACTAATAAACGACGAGTCAACATTGATTGCTTACCCTCTCCTCTCTTCGATATATAGCAGAAGCAGTACAAGTGACCGTGACCGGTTCTCGGCTCGAAGCGAAGAGAAAGACACAATACGAGTTGTAACCTCGCTATTGAATCCGAAAAATAATACTTAAAACTTTTTTACTTTTAAATAATTTAAATATTTTTTAAAGAGGGAATTAATAAGTAAAGAGTTGACATTGATCGTTGACCATCTTCACACTTCGATAAATAGCAAAAGCAGTACAAGTGACCACAACCAATTCTCGGCTCGAAGTGAAAAGTCAAGTACGATACTAGCCATTAACTAGACTGTCAAATTCCATTTGAAAATGTTTAAGTTGTTACATTTAAATGATGTATTTTATTAAAATAAATGTTGATGCAATTTAGGTTGATATATACAATTATTATCTACTAGTTATAGGATATCAAATATGTTATTTTAATTTGTCAAAATAAATACTATTAGAAATAATAAAACAATTAAATATAAAACAAAACAAAAGAATTAAATAACAAAAACAAAAAAAAAGATAGGGATGTTGAATTAGGAGGGGATAACCTTACCCCATTCACAAACCAGCAAATAAAATAGGGGATAGAATCCCTAAACCCTCCATTCTCTTCTCCTTCGACTCCGGCGGGATTGGCCACGGTGGCAGCGGCGGCAGCGGTGTTTTATATGGTTCGCGGCACGTGATCGTCTCCTCTTTTCCTCACCTTGTTATTTCGTTCAGGGTGAGAAGATGAAGGATGGGGTCGTCGGCTTCCTTCGCTGAGAACAGTTGAAAAGGTCGTGTCGTTCAGGGAGGTGGTTATGAAGTCCCACGTTTGGGGACATCTCGACCCGAGAGAGGTCAAGCCGTGACGGATACGGTTTGGTGGTGGTAAGCTTTGTCGGCTTCCATCCTCTTCCGATTTCCCCATACAGTGATGGCAGAGGAAAGAGACACGGCGACGGTGAAGCTTCAAGGCCACCGTGTCTTCTTGATAGTTTGCCACCGAGAGCGAGATGACTCTGAATCGTGAAGGCGGAGGAAGGCGACGGGAGAAGGCGTCCGAAGGAATTCGGTAATGGAATCCTTTTTCCTCTTCTATTCGGATTCTATTTACCCCTTATTGTCTATTGATTCCGTTGTTGTTCTATATTGGTCTGACTCTGGCTGTAGAATTTGTTGAGATGGCTGAATATTACTCTTCTCTTGTTGTAGTGATTGTGTGAGTTCTATGTGATGTTTGAGTTCTTTGTTTTGTGTGTGTGATGCATAGATAGATAGATAATGTGTAGAATCTGGTTACTTGTGGTTATATATGTGTGTTGTTAGAGTGATATGAGTATATATGAAAGGTAGGTGTTCTCTGTTTTTTTTCTTTTTTCTTTTATAGAGATAGATAGCTCTCCTTTTATATTGGTTTATGAGGAACCCTTTCATTTGCCCATTGATAGCCAGCAACATCCAAGGTTTTTTTTGGCTTTCTGATTACTGTCATCAATACTGCCCTTTATGCAGACTATGATTGCCATTTATGCTGATGAATGTATAACTGATAGCAATGATTTCTGTTTTGCATCTCCTTAATTGACCCTTTTTGTAACCTTCGGGTGGCTCTTACTTCCTTCAGATTTCATTGTGACCCCTGGCTGTTCTCTTTTATCCTCATGCCATTTCTTGGCTGATTGTTTTTTTATGCTATCTTAATGTCATTATAATGAAACTGTTCTTGTTGTCCCTTTTGCTTTTGTTGTTCCCATTTGAGTGTTTTTTTATAGAGATTGAGGGGTAATTGATGTTGGAGATAAGGTCTTTAGAGAATTTTCTTGAGAATTTCATGTTAGTCTTGACCTTATCTCTTTCTGTGAATAGTCATAGTAACAAATGAATTTGATATGGTCTTCCAAATCTGCTTCAAAGACTAAACCAGGATATAGAGTTGCCTTAGATGTAGCTGATGACTTGGTTAATTCTCCATGACTTGGCCATCGCATCTCGGAAATTAAGTTGGGGTTATCTTTTGTTGTATATTTGTTTTGCCTCATTATATGTCTTGGTACGCCCTCTCTTTTTTTATGTTAACATATATACTTCTGATTCTTATATGTACCATTTCTTGCATAAGCACTTGGTTGGTGGTATGGCATCTCACCAATCTTCTCATCTCTGGATTCATTCCCCTTTTGCATTAGGTAGAAGTTTTTTTCCCACTATAATCACCATGATGTTTCATAAGTTGCTGTTATCATTGACATTGTTGATTTGTGTATATATATTGCAGTTCTTTCTTCTGGTCAATTGGTGACAACATTTTCTAACTTCTCTTTTTTTTCTTTTCATGGAGACTTTCAGGTTCACTTCACCACAACCCTTCCATCTTTTGGAGCTAACTCTTGCGGCTGCTTCCCCAACCATTTTCTAAAGCTTCATAGTGAACACATTAATATGTATAGGATTAGGTTCACAGTATAAACTGTTGAGGAAATATTTATGGTACAAGCTGTGAACCCAATCCCTTTTTTATTGGGATTTTTCTTAGATTTTGATTGAACGCTTCTTATGTAAATATATTGCTGTCATATGTATTCCTGAAGTTGAGGGCACTTTGGTTATATTGTAAAATCTGTTTTGTTACCCGTGTAAAAAGGACATAGCTGCCTTGAGGTGATTGATTTTTTCTTTAGAAATAGCATGAAAAATGAATCAGGGCCAGGGTACTTTCAGCAGATGAGGAGCATTTGAGTCTTGTTTTTTCATTCTTCAAAGCTATTGTCATATCCTTGCTTATTTCAATTGTATTTAGAGTAGGTCCTCTAGTAGAATCCATGGTCTTAACAAAGGGGAAGGACAGAACAAAGTTCAAACTCTCATTCATGTAGCTTGGTTCATAAACAGTGTAACTCAGCAATGTTAATCACTGCATTATCAGTTATTTATGTATAATTAGCAACATCTTATTCAATTGGTGTTGGGATAGCTAAAAATGTTAGTTTGTTTCCCAAATTTTTTGTGAGTTTTGAAATCTTTGTATTTCTTTTTATATTTTATAAATATATGCCGGACAAAATTGGGTATTCACAATAACTCATAAGATATTAACTTACTACTCCTTTCAAGCACGCTTATATGCCATTCAGATTTAAAGATGAAATAATAAGCGATATGTTAGGACTTAAATATATGAGAATAGTTCAACCCAAAAAATTAGATTATTATCAGGTGAAAGAGTTCAATAACTGAATAAGGGACTCCTAACAGAATGTCACCTGCCACTGCCTATGGGCATATTAACATGCAAAAGCACTTCCTTGCTGGCATTCTTCCTGTGTTATCTGATGACATTGTGATATGGAACGACGTGTGTTTGAAAATCTTCTTAGATGACGGAGAAAGAGATAGGGAAGATAAGATAGGATTTGATATCAATTATCAAAACACATCACGTGCCACGAGGGGCTTTGAATTTCTGAAAATTATTACTATTCAGAGAGAGGAAAAACTGGACCATTTCATGAATGTCCACTATAATGGGTTAGGCTGAACAACATGCCACTGACAGATAGGGTTAGGAAAATGTCAACTATAATGGGTTAGGAAAATGTTTGGTCTAATTAAGTATAATTATAGGTAGGGTTCATAATAATCTGACCAACTCGATATTTCTTTGAAACTTAGAGTTTTTATTTAGATCGATAAATTTTGTTCATGATTCAAATGAGTTAAATTTGAGCAAAATACAATTCAACTTGTTAAGTTGACGTGCTTATTGAATTATATTAATTGGTATATATATATATAATATTTAGTTTTATATATATTAAATAAATCATTATCATTCAAGTTAACAAATTAAACCAATCAAGCTAATGAGTTGAATAATCACTTCGTGAACTCTTAAACTCTAGTCGAATAAATCCTTATCGAAATCGAGCTGGAGACATAACTCATTTAAACTTTAGTTGAATAAATCCTTATCAAAATGAGCTCTAATTCAACTTGTTTCTGGCCCTAATTATAATATCTAAATAAATGTTTTGAGGAATAAAATTTCATCCATCTCCTTTATTAATTTTTATTTTGCCTTTTTAAAAGAGACTTAAATAAAATAATTGCTTGGATTAGATACACACATCATTTCTGATAAAATAACATATGCACAAACATAACTTAAGATTTTTCAGATCATCATTACCCATTAACATTTTAATACTAATCAAAATTAATTATTAAATTAAAATACACATGAATAGAGAATAATTATTAAAAGTGTAAAAAAAATTTACAATGTATAAATTTTATGATTTTATATTTTAGGTTTTGTTAGTAATTATATTAAGAAAAACATTGTTTAATCCTTCAAGAATTTAAGAAATAACATATCTACTGAAAATTGCAAGTTTTAAATTTATTTAATATATTAAAGTATTAAACTCCCATTTTGTTATTTGTTATAATTGATATTTATTATACGTGACACTCACGTATACCATACCTTCTTAATTTTGCACAACCTATAATTGGGGTGAGCGTGGGTCGGGTTAACGCTCGTCCTTACCCGGCCCTAAATGTTGTTCGGGTCATTTTTTTGAATCCGGACCCGACCATAGACCCGGAGTTAACCCGACCCTAAATATTCATTGGGTTCACCTTTAAACTCGGACCCGACCCTAGACCCGATTAAATATAATGTATACTCATTTTACACAAAGTCTTCTAAATATTATTTATTATTATGAATATTTAATTTGACATATAAAATAATATATGTGTATATATAGAGCTGTCAAAATGGGCGGGCCTATGCGGGTCGGCCCGCCACAACCCGGAGTCTTGTAGGGCTTGGGTATCATATTTGACACTTTTTAGTGAATCCGAGCTTTTTAGCCCGGCCGGGCCGGGCTATATTAAAACCGAACTCGGGCTACCCGTTTTTTATTTATTTTAAAACTTTTTTTTTGGACATTTGGCTTGGTAATAAGCTTAAAGTGAAAATATTTTACAAAATAACTAATAATAAAAATAGATAATAGATGAAAAATATTGTGTTATGAACTTTGAATAAAAAATAGAGTAATGTCTATAACATAAATATTTATAAATTACAATAATGTTATCAAGTTAAACATTATATTTTTTTCTTATTTTGCTTAATATCCTTTTAAGCACATTAGCAAAATAATGTATCAAATTAAATAAGAACATTAAACCATATAGATTCCATTTTTCTTTTCCTAATTGTATATTTAATTAGATTTAACTTATACAACAAAAATATAATAAAGAAAATAATTTTTACAACGAATCACAACTTTACCATAGAAAATTTAACATAACAGTTCACAATGAAAATGTTGGTAAAGAATATACAAAAGATATCTATAACAAAGTAAAAAATCATTATGATGGTCGTTATAATTCGACACATAGACTTCATTCTGAATTTGAGTCTATACTATCATTACTACAAACCAAAGTATTATTTGTTAGTGTATCTATTTATTATATTGAAGTAAAGTTACAAATTATATTGTTAACCCGTTTTCCTATCGTATGTAACGTGTATTCTATACAAAATAAATATTTAATGTCATATTAATATATGTATAACTCTATAACCCAACTATCAATGTATAATACGGCCGTGCTTTTATCTATTTATAGTCTATAAATATATAACCCAACTATGTATAGTCTACACAATAAATATAGTTGTTCCTTATAACCCGATAGAGTTATTTTTCAATGTATAATACTGTCGTGCTTTTATGTAGCGTGTTGACATGTCCTATCGGGCCTGTCAATCTGCTTTTCTATGGTTTGTAATGCGTTTATTATCATAAATTCTAGTGGTTGCATCTACCACGTCAGAGTTTGTAATACGAACTCACCTATTAGATGTATATCTACATCTTTGAGTAGATTCGATCAATGTCAAACACATAAACAATACTCCGAACCATCTTTTCTCTTCTCACCATTTCTATTTTATTATTGACTCTTCGCTTCCCTTGATTAGAGTCATTCTTCCTCTCAACATGTCATTATATGAAGAAAAGTCAGGCCTTCAAGCTAGCAACATATAATTAGTAATAAGCCCAAAAATACTATGAATCACAACTCGTAGAGAAATACATATAACATTTTAACTTTCACCCTTTATTTGATATGAACATTGAAAGCTAATTTTCAGATCTCAATGAATTCAATGAAATATAAAGAAATTAAATATGTCAAAAATAAATAAAAACATGCATACCCTTCTTCTTTTTTCTCCGTTAGCATTCCCATACTTATTGTGGATAAAAAATTGTTAGGGCACCATTGCTGAGGAATTTGTGTCCTCATTTTGTCCATTAACCCCACCATACCCATTATTATTCACCACCATCTGGAGGGTTTGGACCCCATTTCCTTCAAACCCATTTCCCATATGACCTACTTGAACCATATAGTTGTTGTTTGGGACTGAAACCGTGTTGGGAGCTCTATCATGGTGGTTGAAAACACTATTCAGATTCTAATCACCATTGAGGGAACCATTTTCAGGATTTGGTTTCTCCACCTCAGTGGTTTCAGATGAAACAACACTGTTATCCGAATTTTGACTCGAGGAATGAATTTTGGTTCAAATATTCTCAGCAACAGCCATAATCAAAGAGAATAAAAAAAACCACTTTTGTAGAGATAGAAAGTTCTAAACTTTTTTCAGATTTATCTGGAAAAAAAAAGAAAATTCTGGTTATCAACAACTTGACCCAAACTAATTACTTGAGTGGTGGTGGATTAGTGAAAAAGAATGAAAGTGGAATAGACATATTAGAAAAAACTAAATAGAGATTTAAGAATAAGAAAATAGAAATAATAAAATAATATCCCAACTTCATGAAAAGTGAAGTGAAAATAGAGATGATAAAATATTAACCTGTGGTTAGTGTTATTTCCCACCCATTTTTTGTCTTCATCATTTGGTTTTCCTTCCTTTGTGGATGTGTTAGATCTAACATCACATGTTTAATAGTAGACAATGTATTGCTGGTGGTGTCTCCATTTCCAATGAAGGAGTGAAGAAAGAGGGAGAAGATAGAATGAAAGTGAATGCAATTTAAATTGCAGAGTGAGCATGAGAGAGTGGGTTGAAAAAATGTTGTGACAGTTAAGACCAGTTACAAAGGAAGTAATATACATTTAAGACCCCTCTAACTACAAATTAAATTATGGAAATAATAAATTGTGAAAGGGCAAATTAAGGAAGAAAAAATTATACCATAATGGCAATTAAAACATGTTTTGCCTTTATCTATTGGTATAGATATTAAAGTATTAAACTCCCATTTTATTATTTGTTATAATTGATATTTATTTGGTAATTTTGCACAGCCTATACGTAGGGGTGAGCATGGGCCAGGTTGGGACGGGTTAAGGCTCGTCCTTAACCGGCCCTAAATGTTGTTCGGGTCATTTTTATGAACCCGGACTCGACCCTAAATATTCACCGGGTTCGCCTTTAAACCAGGACCTGACCCTAGACCCGATTAAATATAATGTATACTCATTTTACATAAAGTCTTCTAAATATTATTTATTATTGTGAATATTTAATTTGACATATAAAATAATATATGTGTATATATATTATTAAACATGTATATATGATGAAAAATTAGAGAATCAATAATATTTTCGACCAAAAAAGTATCATTACTCTGCATATATTTGAACAGAGACACGTATAAACATCATGAGAAAGTGAAAATGGGACGGGTCGGGACGGGTCATGTTTGGTCCCTACCCGACCCTAAATATTGTATGGGTCTAATTTTTGAACTCGAACCCGACCTAAACCCGATGAGACCCGACCCTTTTCAGACCCGACCACGATCGGGCCATACCGGGTGAGCGGGTAGGGCCGGGTCCTGCTCACCCCTAGCCTATAGAACCTGACCGCCCATACTTATTAGG